TCCTAGAACAAACTCCTAAATTATTATTTTTTACAGGTATTGCTTTATACGCCTCTTTTGTTGCTTCTTTATTCAAAAACGCTCCACTATTTGATGAACAAAATATTATTGCATTAGTTGTAACTGTTCTTTCATGTATTATTGGGGTTGCTTTTACAATGTATTATTTTGTTTCTGACAAGCATGTGTATTTACTTGATTTTGCACTTGCAGAACTTGGTCCTGAATATGAAAAAACTGCAGAAGAATGTCTTGGTCCTATAGCAAATGTTTTGGGTAAAGAGTGTTCTGATTTTGTGATTAGAGTGGCTAAAGTAACAGGGTTAGGTCAACACACCCATCTCCCAAAGATGTATCATGGAGAAAATTATCTCCCAAAATCAATGGCACTAGCTCGTGAAGAAGTAGAAACTATAATGAAAGCTTGTTGTGATAAATTATTTGAACAAACTAAGATTGATCCAACTAAAGATATTGACTGTGTTATTACTAACTGTTCTATATTCAATCCAACTCCGTCAATAGGTGCTATGTTAATGAATAAATATAAAATGAAACAAACATGTAAAAATTGGCATCTTGGAGGAATGGGATGTTCTGCAAGTATTATATCATGTGATTTAGCTAAAGACTTCCTTTACACTCATCCTAATAGTACTGTTTTAATATTCTCTACAGAAAATATTACTGCGCCAACATATGTTGGCTCAGATAGATCTAAATTAATGTTTTTCACTTTATTTAGATCAGGTGGAGCTGCAATTCTTTTAACTAATAAGAAATCATTAATCAAAAAATGTAAGTATGAGATGGAAGAAACAGTTAGAATTCATAACGCTATTGATGACGATGCTTATAAAGTTATTTTTTATAGTGAAGACGAAACTGGTTCAGATGGAGTTTCTATAGGAAAAACATTAATTAATTATATATCACATGTTATTGACGAAAATGTAAAGATACTATTTCCTAAATACCTTCCACTTTTTTCTAAAATAGTGTATTTAGTAAAGAAGTTCTTTGCTAAAGAAGGTGAAGAAGTTATATGTAATTTAGATGTGAGAAAAGCTTTCCAAGGATTTTGTATTCATGCTGGTGGAAGAGGGGTTATTGATGCTGTTCAAAAGAAATTTAATTTGACTGATGAAGATTGTATGCCATCTCGTGCGGGATTATGTCGTTTTGGTAATACATCATCAGCATCAATTTGGTATGAATTTATGTTTCTTGAAAGATGCGAATTATTACAAAAGAATGATAGAGTACTCCAATTAGCATTTGGTTCAGGAGTTAAAGCTAATTCCTGTGTTTGGAGAAAAATAAATTAATTCTTTTTTATTATTTTTTAGTTAACAAAAAAAAACAAATTTAAAAATTATTAAATAAACCAAATCTTCACTTTAACGAAATTAAGAAACGATAGCAGAAGCAGTATTGGCATCATATTTAAATGATGCTTCAAGAACTTTAGCTGATTTATAGTATCTTGTTAATCTATGAATCTTAGATTCAATAAGAATCAAATGATACTTGGCATCTTTATCTTTCTTATTCTTTTCAAGATGTTTTCTAACTGAAACAGCTCTCTTCATTAAGAAATAAAGATCTTCTGGAATTTTTGGTGCAAGTCCTGCAAGCTTAAGAATTCTAAGTACTTTTGATCCTGTTACACTCTTAATTAATCCAACTCCATGAGTATCTCTCATAATTGCTCCAATTTGTGATGGTGCAATTCCTTTTTTAGCAAGTTTGCACATTTCATCAATAACTTCAAGTGTACTTGTTTTTAACCATGATGGGGCTGTTCTTCTATATGGAATGCATCTTCTGCTAATACCTCTACCTGGATTATACATTCTATTCTTTTAGTTTTCTTTTTTTATATCATTACTTTATAAATTAACAAACCTTCCCATGGCTGTGACTTGGCTTTGGAAATATGGAGTTTTTCTTGATCTTATTACCCTCTTTTTTTCTTTTTTTTAAGGGTTTTCTTTTTTTTTTTTATTATTCTTTTTTACTATTCTTAATAATATTTTTCTCTTTCTTTTATTTTTTAAAATAACAATTTAACAAAAAAATATTTATTCTAAAATGTTATTTATCCATAAAATTATTCTTATGAATAATTAATGATAAATGTTTTTGTTAAAAAATATGTAATCCCGTAAGTCCAAATATTAACTCAACCCATTTCTTATATACCTTACTTCTTCTTATTATTTGTACATTGTAGTAATGTTTCATATTTAAACATAAATACACTACTCATAATTTTTTTCTTTTTATGTCTAGATGTTAGTTATTCAATTCGAGTTATTGAATAATCAAGTACCTCAAAAAAAATTGGTTTAAACTTCACAAAAAAATAATAACTAAAAATTATTTGGATTAGTTCTGAAGTGTAAAAATAGACTGAAGTGATACATTAATTTTTTTTTGATTGATGAACACAAATTTGTGATACAAATAAAATTTATTGATTATTGTTTAGTTACAAATTTTATTTTTATTTTAAGGATAATAATATTGAATCCAAATTGAAGTACTAAAAGAAAATAGAATGGATTCATAATTAACAAAAATAGTTTTAATTTTTTTGATAGATATTATGTTCAGATATTTTTCATACTTTTTTTACTAAAAAATTTATTTTGTGTATCTAAAAGGAAGGTTTTAGATACTATTCAGTAATTAATTATTTAGAATTTAGTTCTAAAAATAAAACAACAGTAACAATAATTAGAAGAGTTAGATTTGTAACTAAAATGAAATTATAAAAAAAGTAATTGTTATACTTTATAGTTTTTTATAAATAGGATTAATTTGGAGGATAATATTGTTATAATGTATTCATAATAAAATATTCCAAATTTCTATTTAAAAAACATATAATAGAGATATTAGGTATTAGTTTTGTAGAATTGTCACAAAATGAGTTCAAAAGTAGTGATTCTATTTAAAAAAAAATAACAGAATAAAAATCTTCCAAAAATTATTGTTAATGTGAATTACATAATAATTTGAATTTATAAAGACAAATGCGTAAAAGGACATGAGAGGGACTGTTTTTCTTCAGTAGTCTCTGAAGAACTAGGTGGGTTAATGTCAAAATCAACCTCATCAAAATCAAACATGTCATCAAGAATTTTATCTATTTCCTCCTTTTTAACAACATGGTCAACATAAATTCCATTAGCAATTTTTGTGTGTTTAGCAATAGCATATTTATTACTAGACATGATTGTCTAGAAAATCTAGTTTCAACTTATTTATATAGAAACATGTGGAATACCTAAGATTCTAAAACCTTCTTGTTATTTTTATTTAAATTTCATCACGATTTGTCCTTGTAATTTGAGTGGTTTTATTTTTATTTTTACTTTTAATATCTTTGAGTTTTGATGTAAAAACTATTCTTAAAAATGCTATGTGTGTTTATGTTTAATTATTATTTTTCTAATTTTAAAATATTAATACTCTCAAAACTTTAACACACTTTATCCCTTTCTGATATTGAGTATAGAAAATAATCTTAGAATAATAAGTATTATTAATAAAAAAATAACAAATTTTATTAAAATGTTATAAAAAACGTAAAAAGAAATTATTTTTATGTTTTAGAGTTAATGATTTAGAGAATATTTAAATTCATAATAAAATATTAGGATTGAACTATTAAATAGCTATTAAGATAAGATGAAGAAGTTATTCCTTTTTACTACTTTTATAGGTAGTGCTATTGTTTTAACCTTATTTGGGACTTTACTTTTAGCTGACCGTCTAACACTATTTAGTACAAAACCAAGCTATTTAAAATCAGTTTTTCTTACGAACAGTGATTTAGTTTATCCCGAATCAATGCAAGGGTATTCCACATACAATGAAAAATCTTCTGCATTCCAATTAATCTATGTAACTGATAACGATAAGTATAACACTGATGGTAATAATTTTATTTCTAAAGTCCATTTTGGAATGATAAGTAAAGTTGGTAATAAATGGAGTTTTACAGAAAACATACAAAAGAGTTTTCAAATTAATACCCAATTAAATTATGGTGGAAGAGGTAATGAACTGTCTGAAGTCGTCCAATATTTTAATAACCTTTATGTTTTTGATGATAAGACAGGCGTTGTTGCTCAACTAGATTTAGAATACAAAAAGTTCTATCCATGGATTATTATTGCTGATGGAAATGGAAATCAAACAAAAGGTGCAAAAAATGAATGGGCAACAATTGTAGGTGATAAGTTATACATTGGAAGTCATGGACCAAATACCTATGACTCATTAGGAAGAGTTGATAGAAATAATAAATATTACATTCAAAAAGTTAATAAAGAAGGTAGTTTTGAATATGAAGATTGGTCGAATGTATACAACAGTATTTTGGATGCACTAAGTATTGAAATTCCTGGATATATTACTAATGAGGCAGTTGTGTATTCGAACTTAAAGAAAAAATGGTATTTTGCCCCAAGAAAATGCAGCAATAAAGCCTATAATAAACAAGAAGATGAAAAAATGAATAGTTGTAAATATATTATTGAATTGGATGAAAATTTAAAAAACCCAAGAATTATCGAAGACAAACAATACGACGAAACTCATGGGTTTTCAAGCATCAAAGTTCTTCCATTTAATGAAGACATTTTAGTTTATCTCAAATCATATGAAGTTGACAATAATTTTAAGTCATTTATTGGTATGATAAGTGTTAATGGAGAAGTGGTTATGGAAGAACAGCTATTGGGTTCTGAAAAATTTGAAGGTTTAGAAATCATTCCTCTAAATATATAATCTAAAAATTTTAAAAAATCAATTTTTTCACTAATTTTATTTGAAAAATTTACCCATTTTGTGATTTATTTGGTATTTACGGCTTCTTATCAACAACTGAGTAAATTATTCAATAGAAATAAAGAGTATTGAAGAAACTGATTTGCTCACTTCTCAAAATGATGAAAACCTAATTATAAGTAATTCAGAATTGGCTTCTTTTTTTTAACAACTGAGTAAATTCATTGCTTCAAATTATTCTTTTCATTTAAAAATAAAGTTTTCAAGTTCAATCCAAAAAAGACATTCAGGTTTTAATATGTTATTTAAACTAAATATTAAATACTTCTTATTTTCACAACTCTAAGTTTATATCACGTTAATGTTTGTTTCTTCTAATCAGTCTACAATTGTTTGTGTATCATTCTTTTTATAACTATTCTATTTTATCATCTGTTGTTTTTATTATTATCACTCTTTCTTATTCACTTTCTCTTGTACAGTAGTACATTATTGTTCTAATTATTTCATTAACATATTCATTAATCTGTTTATTATACATCATTTCATTTATATTGACCTATAGATTGTCTTTTGAGTTACTAACACTAATATATTTTGTATTTCTTATTTATTTTTTATCTCAATTTACATTCTACATCAGTTACCTTCCAATTTACTACTGATGCTGAATATCTGAAGATGGGTATTACTTCAGTATTAATTCTTGTAATATATCTTCTACTACATTCATCAGTATTTATCTCTTCCATTTTCTTCATCATCTTTTCTTTGATGATTTTACAATTGAAGGTGTCATTAATTTCATCGGACTGCCATACTCCTAAATATTTATACAATTCCTCTCCTTCAATTATTGTGATGTTTTGCATTCAATCTGGTATTTTATTAATGTTCTTTAATACCATTCCTGATTTCTTTTCATTTCCATCCCTATTCCACTTATTATTTCTTTAATTTCATTGTGGATTGTTCCCATTTCTTCACTACTTTGTGTCATTATTCTCAAATCATCCATATACAATGTATGGCTTGCTTTTGGGAACTTCTCTTCTATGATTTGAGAAATTATATTCATTTGGATGATGAAGAGTAGAGGGGATAAGGAATCACCTTGTAAAATTCCTCTCTTCAGTTTAATACATCCTAGATATTCATTATATTTATATCCTATGAATATCTTCCATCTGTTCATCATACTTTCTACAATGTCTATGATGACACCCTCTACATTAAAATATTTAAGTGATTCTATTACCCATTCATGATTTACTGAGTCATATGCTTTCTTAATATCATAATATGACTCTACATATTTTGGGTATTTCTCTTCTTTTTGCTGCTTTAACATATAACTGTTAATTAATCGTTCTTTAGCAGCAAGAGATTGCAGTTTACATCCCAATTGATTTTTACTAATTTTTAGTGATTCACTATTCATGTTAATTCTATTGTGAATCTTCTCTTTTAATATGGAGGTAAATACTTTCATAATTACATTTGTACAACTGATATGACGATAATTAATGACATCGTTCATATTACCTCCTTTGTGGATTAATATAGTTCTTCCACTTACCATGTCAATAGTGATGTTTTCATTGAAGTTTAACCATTCATTGAAGATATTAAGAATGGAATCTCTTGATAATGACATTCTCTTCCAATAATACCCATATATAGTGTCAATACCTGGTGATTTCCAATTACTTATTTTCATCAAGCTTAGATTTAGTTCATCCAATGTGATGATGACACTATCATAATTCCTGTATCTTTCATTCCAGGAGGTGATTTGTTTTATTTTCCAATGTTCTTTATTTAATATCACCCGTGTTTCATATAACGATTTCAAATATTCTAAAATAATATCGTTATTTGGGTATATTTCATTTTGTGGGTCTTTCTTCTTTATTTTGATTTTCTTATTAGAATCAAACATGATTTTATTTGTATTGATTCTGACATTTTCATTCTTATTAAATTTAATTCTTTCTTTAATCATTATCATCATATATTTTAGGTACTTTATTCATTCTTGTGATTTAATTTTAATTTCATCTACATCATGTTCCTTTAATCTCATGATGCATTTTATTTTGTACCATTCCTTTGATTAGATCTTCTAATCTATTTATTTTCTTTATAATTTCTTTATTTCATCAAATTTATCTCATTTAAATTTATTTTAGAGATAATAATACATACACATTGAAATCCTTTTCATATCTTCTTGTAGATTTTCTATTCTCCTGACCATACCCATTTATTATTTATTTCTCTTATTAATTTATCTGATTCTTTCCTTTTCCAGTAGTAATTAATATTTACACATTTATCTATCTTCATTCCTTTAACTTGAGTGATGATAGAGTTAAGATATTCATCATCAATATCAGTAGAGTTATTTTTTATGATAATATTTTTTATTATTGGGTTACACTCTACTTTCCCTTCTATGATTGAGTTCATTTTCATTTTAATATATCTTTTAGTTGTTTATTTTATTTTATGTGATATTTTAATATTATTAATGTATTCTTTATCATTATTTACATTATTATTTATTATTTTTATTATGCTTTCTATTTGTTCATTTCTTAATTTCTTATTTAATTTCTTATTTAACCAATTAATTGCAAAACAATACAACACATCAATTAAAATTCTATTTGTTTGATTTATTGTGTTTTCTTTTCTTCTTGACTGATTATCATTTCTTGTTTTTTGATATTCAGTGTTTTGCTCTCTTCTTCTTCTATTTCCATAATTGTCTTTTTCATGATGGTAGTTTTGTTCATTTGTATTGTCCCAGATGACTTCATTATATTTTAATATGATAATGTTGATTGTTTTTATTTAATTAATAATAATATTATGAAGATGGAAATGAAAGAAATAAAACATATGAAGAATAAAATATCAAATAAATATCAAATAATGATATATTTAATAATATATTAACATTTAAGTAATAGTTGTGTGTTTCTAACAACACAAACATTACTTATTTTCAAACAATCTTCAAATAATTATATTTGATAAATGATTTTGATTTTGATTTCTTTTATTATTTCTTTTTATTTTCTTTTATTTTTCATGTTTTCTATCTTGTTTTCTAAACATAAAAGAAAAAAGAAAAAGAAAGAAATGAAAGAATTAATAATAAGAAGAGAAAGAAGGGAGATTAAGAAAAGGAGAAGAAAGATGATCACAATTAAGATTAGGATGATTTTGATGAAGGACATTTTTGCGAATAAGAAGAAGGGCATTTTTCATGTCGAAGTTAACAGATCTTAAAACAGATAGAGCGATGTCATGAGGAATCCTTCCACGAGAAGCGGTATTAATTAAAGCAGAAAGACAATTTTTAGTAATATTAACACTGATTTGTTGAATAGCATTATTAAAAAGATGAATATGATCATTACAAATTTTATGATTAATAATAAGAAGAGTTCTAGTGAAATTAATAGGTTGATTATTAAAATGAAGAATACCAAAAACAGATATTTCTTTAATTTGACCAATTTCAATAATATCAAAAGCGATTTCCATCATATTATATTCAATATTATTGAGAAGAATAATTTTAGAATAATAAAGATTATAATTTAATAATTTTCCAATAAGTTGAATAATTTCTTTTTCTTTTAAATGATTTCTATTTATATTATGAATAAATTGATTAATAATTGGACAATTTGGTGATAAAGTAATACTAATAAAATGAATTTGATTATAATATGAATTAATATTAATTTTATTTGTTTCTTTATCAAATATTTCTCTTAATATTTCTTTAATATTTTTAAATGTTGAATATTTTGAAAAATATCCCATTGTTATTTCTTCTTCTAAATAATTTTTTTGAATTCCAAATTTTATTTTATTTTCTATTTTATTTCCATTAATTATTATTATATTTGGTATTATTTTTTGTATTTCTTCTTGATTATTTCTTCCTTTAATTGGATTATTTCTTAAATCAATTTCTTCTATTCTTATATTAATTTCTTCTATTTTTTCTATTTCATTATTTGATATATCTATCCCTTTAATTATTGGATATATTTTATTAATATTATTAATTATTTGTATACTTTTTATTTTATTCCCTGAAAGACAAATATATTTAATCATTGAATTCTTATCACTAATACTTTTCATTATCCTTTTTATAAATATTTCATCTACTTCTCTTTGACTTCCTATTTCTTTTATTTTCTCTTTTAATCTTGATATATCTATTATTCCTTTTCTTCCATCATACCATTTCTCTATTATTTCTTTTGCTATTTCTTCTATCCTTTTGTCTTTTTTCTCTATCACTTCAATACTTACTTCCATATCTTTATATCTCATTATCTTTTTCTTTCTTTCTATTTTCTTTTCTTCTTTTTTCTCTATTTCACATATATAATTCATCCCTATCTCTTTAATCTTTTCACTTCTTATATCCATCTCTTTCTTTAAAAACTCTTTCACTTCTTGTTTCGTCCCATTAAAATTATGTATTCCTATCTTCATTCCTTTCTTTTCTTGTTTTTTTTAGTTATTCTCTTCTTTTCCTCCCTTCTTTTCTTCCCTTCTATCTCCTTCTTTTCTCAAAATTAATAAATTACACTTTTATTGACATTTTTTTTGTTATTTATTAAACAAAATAAATTATACTTTTTTAATTGTTATTTTTCCCTTTTTTTAACCAAAAATCGTTTTCATTCAGCTCATAAAGTTGTTGAAGCTTTTTCATGAAGTATAAGAATAAGAAAATGATTAAAAGATATTACTCAAAACGAATAATTCTATTTTTGTACTAATGAAAATTAAAAGAAATAGTTTCTTTGTTTATCATTTTATCTTGAATTGCCGTTAAAACAAATCACTCACTCATTAAAATTTATTATAAATATATTTTTTTAACCTTTTTTGAATCAAAAAAGATAGAAACAGTTAAGTATTAAGTGAGTTTCATGTACTTTCTTTACTTGGTAATAATATTAATTTTTTTTAATAAAAGAATATCCTTTTCTAGTTCTTTTTGACTGACTTGTAAAACGAAAAATATGTCATACACAATATCCTTTTTTAAACATTTATTTTTAATTTTTCAATTTACGTTTGTTCTAAGAAAAAACAAAATTGAATTCTTTTTTATTTTCTTGAGAGTTTGTAATATTGTTTATAATATGGAACAAATAAATTATAAAACAAATTTAGACTCATAGTTAACCTTTAATTTTCATTGGTAATACCATGAGTTCTTTTCTTTAAATGCTATGTCTACACAATAATTACTAATTAACACATTTATTATTTATTTCATTTAAGTAATAACTCCCAAGAATTATTTAATAAAAGTTATTGAATTAAATTTAGGAAAATAGTATTTTTGTGTTAGTAGTTTATTTAATTCTTAATAAAATATTTATTTCATTAAATTTTTAAATAACAAATTCTGAATTATGAAAATAATATGGGGTGGTTTATTTTAAATTAAAAAATTTATAATTGAATAAAAATCATCAATAAAAAGCAATCAATCTCATTCATTGTGTTACTTGTTATTTCTCTTCAATGAATTTTGAAGTTCCAAAAGCATCAGTAATTTCTTTAAGAATATTACTTATTTGTTTTGAGTTAATAATCATAATAGAAATAAAGTCTTTTACCTTACCTGGTAATGTCCATCTATCTTTAGAAGAAACAGAAACAACAACACCTGCTTCTGCAAATTTTGAATAGATTTGATTTTCCATTAATAAATATTCTAAATCATCAGACACATGAATTTTCTTTTTTCTTCTGATTACTGTTTGTTCTTCATCATCGTTGTTTTCATCATCTTCATCAAGACCTTTAACACAAGACGCAGCAATGACATAATAATTAACAGGTTGAGTGATATGGTGTTCTGTATCATAAATACCAATTTCTTCATAAATAGTACTATGTAATAATGAATTCAAATCAGATGGACAATTTACCATTCTTTCATTAACTATTAGCATTCTTCTTCCTGCTTCACCACTTAATACTTTCTGAACAAAATCAAGTTTTTCTTGGTTATATTGTTGAAATGCATTAATAGTGTATTTACAGAAGTCGTCATAAATTCCATCAACTTTTAATGATTCAAAATCTACTGGAATAGCAAGGCCATAAGTGTCGTTATCACTGTTCTTAATAACTGATCCTATTTCTGTTTTAATTAAAATATCAGTCAACGTTCTCAAATTAATTCCAGTGTATTTTAAAGGACTGTGCAATAAGAAATTCTTAATCTCTAAATAATCATTTTCACTTTGGTTCTCTAAAAATATATCTACATTAATTTCTTCCATTGCATCATCTCCTTCATCTGTTTCTACAGGAACAAATGTATTTTCTTCTAACTCTTCTTCTTCCATTGCATTACGTGCTCTTCTCTTCATTTTCCTATTTATTTTTTTTCTAAATTTTAGGGTTTTTATGACAAAATTTTAAAATAAAACTTTTTGTTTTTTGAATTTTATATATTTTTTTGTGTTTTTTTCATTACTTATTTTCTCATAATCTTAATGTGTTTTTTTGTTCATGATTGGATAGAAACTAATTTAAGAGGAAGAGTAAATAATAATTCAATTTAAAAAATAATCAATTGAAATTTTGATTATAGTATTTATTTATTATATTATAATTTAGTTAGAGAAGAGAAGAATTTGAAATATCTTTTGTTGTACTTCACAAAAAAAAACATCACCAACTTAAAATACAAGATGATCTCCTTACGAAAAGAATACATCTATTTCATTGTTTTTGTTATTGTTCTTAAACTATCTGCTATTTATCTTTATGGAAGTGGATTTTT